TTTTTTTAGCTCAGCTGTGATGGAACTGAATACACAGTATTGTGGGATATCATACACAGAGAAGGATACATCTATGCTGCCTTCAAAAATCCATCAGATGAGTGCATCTCAGGAGTCAGGAAGTGAAACTAACATTGGATTTGGATGTGCCTTGATGCCTTCCTACCTTAGAATGTAACCTCCAAAGACAGCATTCTGCAGCTTTCAGACGCAGCCGATGTGTGTAGATGTGGTGTCTGAAAGCAGACGAGTGGATGACAAACTCACTGCAGTGACCCTAGATTCTGATGTTTTGATGACTTTATCCACTATTTTAAGTAGGATTATTATTTTTTACAATTACTGATGTGAACAACAACAGTAACTACAATCACTAGATTTGTTCATTATATGAAGAAAGTGAGTGGTACTTGACTGTAGATCTGGACTGGATCAGCGGTAAGGTGTTATGGCTTGTTGTCAGGGCATCTATGTAGTGTTTAAATGGTTTTGCAGTGGTTTCTCGGGTGTTCTTGGTGTTTTCTAGATGGCTGTTAGATGATTTTTACTGGCCCAGGTCAAAAGAGTCTCAAGTCCCTATTCTGGTCTGCAAATATGACTCTTTCAATGTCTTTCAACAGACAGTGTCGGCCTGTCAGAGTGTGACCTTGTACATCCTCTGTTGAGGCCCAGAAGAGGAGAAAGACTCCATAGTTAAATGAAGCTATGTCAGCAAATTGTCATTGTGTATAAAGTTTAAAAATACTGTATATACACACCTAATCAACAGTTTCAGTCACAAACACACTGTACTTGGTAACACTCCTACAGACACTCAACTGTTTGTTTTAAGTGCAGAAAATAGACAATCATTTATTACAACTGGAATATTACAAATAGTTAATTTAAAATCTTTGAAATAAAGGTATAAAATAAAGCATATAAAAATAGTTGGTAAAAAATAAGTAACAACAAAGCCAGATGCCCTGAGCATTCTGAAGACATATCATAACTGTGACATTGTGATGCTTGGCATTTTCTTTTATAATGTACTTCTGCAGCAATAGCAAAAGTGTTTTGCTTTTCAACTTTTGTCATTTTGCAAACATACTTTGTAAATTTAAAGTTGTACTTTACAACATTAAACTTCTTAAAAGCACTGTGCTTAATTATAAAAATATATAAAGGCTGGAATGCACTACACAACTTTTACACAGATTTTGCCACGATTTGCAGCCTGGATGAGTAGATGCTAAAGTCAGAACCAATTTTGAGTGCGCAGATTTTGGGCAGTTGGATTTGAAAAATTTCACAGGAAATCACATACAGATTCCAGTTTCTTTTAGCTTCAGAATATAATTTTATCCATTTGGAGGATATCAAACATAACTGATATTTTGAGATAATTTTAGAACACAGCTAGTCTCCAAAATACATATACATTATAATGCACTATACTCTAACATAAAGTGCATGTATTTTTAAGGTTATTTTGTCAGTCTGATAACCTTTCCCACTGGTAAAATCTGTTCAGATTTTAAAAGTCGTGTAGCGTATTCCAGTCTTTAATTTATACAAAAGGTGCTGAGCAGCTGTGTCATCCAGTGTTTAGCAAGCAATACAGTCATCAAAAAACACCCTTGACCTTTAGGTCCCATCTTTGATGGCATCCCAGTACCATTTGTTAAGGTTTCCAAAAACCTGGTAGTCTTTCTTTGTTCGTATATATTGACAGGCACGGCATGCATGCTCTTGAGGATGATTAACAAGTTTGACTTCAAAGTGTTTTCGCCATTGAAAATACTTTTTGTATTCTTCAACATTTTTATCC